CTCCGCAGTCAACTTCGAAGGCGCAATCAGATCAAGTGTATAAGCGCCTACACTTGATCCGTCATTGACTATGACATTCAATGTCTCTGTCATTTCCTGGGGACTTATTCCCTCAGGCCTCGAAGGACTTATTCCTTCGGCTTCCCGGGGACTTATTCCCGCGGGTTTTGGGGAATTTGTTTCCGCCGTATTTGTAATCTTGGGACTTATTCCCTTGACTTCCTCTAGCTGGGGTTGCGCAACCACAGCTAGATCCTCTACGAAAGACTCTCCAGTCGATCTAGGATTATCGTTTCGCTTAACCTGAGCGATCGATTGTTTCTCTTCTAGATGTTTCCTGCTAGGGATACATCTTTGTCCCAGTCCACTCGACTTTTTCGAGCGGTGGACCTTCGGCGTAGCCTGTGTTTCCTCACAGCCGCCGGAACTTTGCTCCGAAGTGTAACCATTTGTTACACTAAGGTTTTGCGCAGTCGTACTAACGACCGTACCACAAGTGAGGCCATCGCACTCACTCGTAGTACATCCACACGCTTGTGGACGCTCCAAAACGTTCATCAGTTGGCCATCTGATGAACAAGCGGCAGGCATCGTTACTGTTCGATGTTGCCAGTTCACCCGTGGTTCGTACCTTCTGAGCCACGGTATTCCAAGGATGACATCAAATTTGTCATCCAAATCCAATACGATAAAGTCATCGTCATATTGGGTATCTTCTAGCGTATAGTGGATCTTCACTATACGCTTCATGACGGTTACGGATGCGCCTGTCGCAAGACGTACCGTCATCCTCGTAGGAGGTGTGTCACATTCACTGAACTTAAAGTGACCATCTTCTAGCGATTGGCGTCGCACAAAACTTTTAGACGCCCCACAATCGACTAGAGCTCGAAGGGACAACTTATTCGTCACTTCGAGTTTCAAGGTAATGAGTGAGACCTCATTACCTAGAGCAGCAACGCACAACGTTTGTGTGTTGGAAGCAACCTTCGTCAAGAGGCCTGCAAATTCTCTTGACGTTGCTGGACCAGTAGGGTGCTCCGCACCTACTGATCCTGTCCTTTTTTGACGGTCCATCCCGTTGTTGCGTCTTTGCACCAACAGCGGACCCTCGTCCCTGCCCCTTTCTCATGGGTGGACGGTCACTACGCCCAGTGTTGCGAGACACTGGACGAGGGGCACTACACTCGTAAGCGTAGTGTCCTGTCTTCTGACATCTGTTGCATTTCTGCAACTTCTTGTAGTCTGTAGAGTGAGCCTTCTCGCTCTATACATAACAGAGTTCCATCGGCTCTGGACCTTTGCTGTCATATCGTCTCGGTTGACGATATGATGTCGAGCTGGCGCGAGCCTGTCTCAGACTGAAGTCTCCCTGCTCCGCAATGGAAATGACTTGTTCTAGTGAATCTAGTTCAAGCCGGAACAGGTGAGTCTTGACGGGACCATCCGCAAGACCCTGCATGAACACCGAAACCAACGTGTGTTCATCCACCGGATTGGAACTTATACAACTCGTAAGATGTCGTATATGTTGCGCGTAAGCGTGCACATCACGCTTACCCTGCTTGAGCTTCAAGAGTTCAGTTCGAGCTCTGAACTCAGCTCTAGGCGGTTCAAACGTTTGTCTGAGCCGCGACTTGAAGACTTCCAACGACCCAAACGCATATGGGTCGTGCAACTTGAGCCCCAGTGCCCAAGTCTTGGCACGTCCTGCCAGATTTGATTGGGCAAATGCAACTTGCATTTCCCCATCGTTGATGCGACGCGCCCTTATGGCGTCGTCAATTTCGACGAACCATCTCAGGAGGGAGTCCTCTTCGACTCCCCTTTACTTATAGATGTCAATCGTCAAGGTCTCGGGTCGACGCTAGTGCATCGACCCACCAGCAGCAGCCTGCTGCTGTCTCAACAGTTTAAACTGTTGAGTACCCTGTTCTCTCAACGACTCTGCTTGTTGAGAACCTTGTTGGTGAAGCAAGGCTACTTTCTCGCTTTCAGCGTCAAGTTCATTTTGAATGAACTTGGCGATAGTAGCATGTTGGGCATCTCTATTGAGAGCCTCTAGCATGACGCTAACAGCATGGATGCCCATGGTTGAACCCATTCGTTCAACCGCATCCCATTCGACATCGCTCAAATGGGAGTAGCCGTCACGCGTAGGGTGAAAGCTTTGGTCATCTTCATTATCTAACATATTCATGTTCGATGTTAACGTGGCCCTTGGACGGACTACGAAGTGCTACCAGGTGTAACGGGGCACCCTGAAGCTTGTACTGATGAGAGTACAAGCTACTTATTCTGATGACAGAATAAGGCGGTGCCTCGTAACTTCACGTACACTGGTACGTGCAGAGGAAGACGGTAAGGAGAAGCGAGTAATTGGTTAAAGTAAGAAGTAGAACTGTATTTAAAATAGTTAATGTCTGTAAGAAACCACTTTTTATCCTCATCTAGCTATGTCTGAATACAAATGTGTAAATCAGTTATCTGCTCACCACTCATTGCGTGCGTCTGTCGTGGCGCGTCTTCGTTGCTTGATATAATGGCCTATATTAACCAATTAGGAACTACTCGTAAGTGCTACAGAATATTTGTCCTTATGACAATATTATGAGAATACAACTCTTATAGTTATATTCTATTAACAATTTCTTATAAATTGTTATGTAACGATTCACCCCGTTGCAAATGGCATGTGACAAGCGCAAGCTTACCACATGTCGACTGTATTGGAATCGACAAACCGACTTCAAATCAACTTAGTGCTCACCTAGTGATAAGGTCCGCCCTTGTGGCAGACCCATCAGCATCGACTATTCATCTGTCAGCTTCGGTATCAAGATGGTATTGCGGCATATTGAGGCAATGTGTACCGTGCAAATGAGACTGTTGCAGCAGAGATGTTCTCTGAGAATCCATGGACAGCAAAACTCTTACCAAGCTTTCTCACGGGGTTTTCAGTGACTTAATCCTGGATCTAAACCTCGTGAACTACGATTTAACTTCGTGCATTACGTGTAATATAGACTGTACCGATTCTCGCACAAGTGTAAAAACAGGTCATGTTCTGGTCAAACTTTCAAACTGTGTCACCTTTTTGTAAATTCCCCATTTACTTAATGCAAATATTGCCAAATGTAGAAGCCACTAATGAGCCTTTACTTTTCGCTACTGAGCCTTCACTCCATATATTTAACAAGTAGATACTTTTAGAAACCCTTTTATGATTAAATGGTTTGTTGTACGCTTTAGGAGTATCTTCCACGATCTCATATAACCTACTATGTTGTATCACTGACCTCCTATCTTAAAAGCGACCTGGAAGGCCGTAATCGGATCACAGAAGAGCTGTTTGTTTCAGTTGAAAAAGCTTGTCACGCTCTTGATGAGCCGGCACTGCTGGACGGCTATGATATAGCGATCAAACGGCAACAAGGGGTGAAAAACAGCAAGGAAAGTGAGGTTAAAGCGGTGAATCTGCAATGCTCATGCAACACTGTCCGCAAAAGGTGATTCAGTAAGATGGTCATATTGTAGCATTCAACCACAACTAGATTGTGACCAGAATACGACATATGCATTGTGTTTTCACGATCGTCTTTTTACACGTTAATGTGAAAAATGGTCTGAATACGTGTGTACCATTAATGAAGTGCCGTCGCCGGAGCTTCTCGGGGTGGTCCCCTTGAGAGTGAGATAGACGTGGTGAAGGAATACAATCACCTTAACCAAGCCGGTGTGAGCCTATACATATTAAACTGCTATCACCTGTCGGAGGGGATGCTCTATGTGGACACTGCGGATATGACTGGCTCAGTCTCAGCTGTGAAAATTTAAAATTAGAAGCTTGATAGTAAATTAAAAAGAAGCTTTAGGGGTTTTCAAATTTTATTGCTTGATCTATGTATGCGTGAAGGCTCATAAACAAAAACGCAGGGCTCATTAGCGGCTCCCCAAATGTATTGTGCAGACTAACTCAGAGTAGTCATTTTAAACTTTGGACACAAGGTTGGGAGTTACTATGTAATTACGGGTCCGTTTTTAATTCGACCAATCAAAAGGTCAAATTTAATGATCTTTGCGATGTCAAGAGGGTGTTTGGTGGTTACCAAAAACGTGGCTGACGGTAATCAAATCTGTGGCTGGTGGTTTCCTAAAACGCGGTAGGTGGCAACGGCCCTTAAAAATATTTAAGTAATCAGACACTTTTTTTAACCGAGGGCAATTGCTCGACGGAGAGTCTATGTGTCTGCAATTTTATTCCAAAATCTTTTTGGTAAACAATTGGTTCAAGCTACTTCTGGCCGCTCTTGCAGCAAAATGAGGAAGAGAACTACAGCGCCTGCTTCGTGTTGTTGTCCTTGCATTGTGGGCTGGAAGATGGTACTAAGATAGGGGAGCAAGCTCTGGGGCTCGCTCTTTGATGTAAGTAGTTCAATTTGAAGAACTGAATCAAGTTGAAAAACACTATACTTCAGCAGTCAATGAAGAATAAATACCATGCTGTTAATGTCGAATTTTTACCCAGTACAGTATGCTCAAGCAAAGCGATCAGCCGTTGCTGATGAGCGTCTAGCATTTGACTATGTGATCATATTCAGCTCTAGTCGATTTTAAGCCAATCACGTGCATCACATAGTGACCTACTCAAAGACTGACTTCGGATGTGCCTATTTACCTCTGTGGTGGGGACATGCTAGACCGCACTTAACACGTGTAAACTACACACAACCGCGTTATTTACAGACACACGGACACACATGGACGACATCCACGGAGAAAGACACACAGATAAGTGCGGTATAAAAGGTCGGCACTCAACCTTGCGCACAGTCACTAGTAGCATCACCCTTCGGGCTCGCAATGAATCCATGCGAAGACAGTCCAGCCGATGATCAGCCAAGAGCTTTACAAAAATCTGTATTGAGGCAAAAGGTAATGCAAAGAACAAACGAGGCTGCGTGACAGGATATAGACACAAGCTATAGGTGATTTGCCCACTACGCGCGCGCGTGCATAAGTGGCGGCGCGGCATTAGCGGGCGTTTCGTACATCTGGTAGCCACCGGCTGGAGTATTTCCCCGCTGATTACCTGCGTTGGACTTGGACCGTACACGGCTGAGGTTTCGCTGGCGAGCATTACCAAGGGTGCGCGTAGTGCGACTAGCACGCTCGGCACGCATGCGGGCGACGCGATCACGGTCGCGCTTGGCTTCAGTCTTTGTGCAGATGATGCCGTTCTTCTTGGTACCTGCACCCAGCAGCAGCACCAGTGAAACGATGCTGAATCCTGCGATGGCGTACAGGTACAGGTGTTCTTTCGACATGAGCGACTCTTCAGTGTGCAAATAGACGTAGCCCAGATCCGCCAAGAAGAAGATCGCAAACAGCGTCGTGGTCGACGAAGCGCGGCCGCGGGTGTTGAACATGGCAACACAGGTCGACCACGGCGCTGAGCTCGTACCCAGTCCCAGGAAAAAGTACATGAGCATAACCACCAGGCTGACGTACAGGCCTGAACCCCCTGGATCGCCGAGAAAGTCAGACGTCTCATTGAAACCTAATAGAGCTGCGCAAATGGCCACTGGAATGAGCGTTCCAAACAAAATAGACTTGTGATCCAGCTTGTCGATGAAAAAGAAGGCGATGACAACGCCCGAGGTCTGTAGTGCCATACCGCTTACGAACAGCTGGTCCTGGTCAGTGTACTCGCTAGCTGCCTTGTAGCTGACGAAGGCATTGAGAAAGCCCGTGGTCAGTGACGACACCAGCATCAGCATTAGACCGATCAGGAACTTAAAGAAGCCTGCGCCACTGTCGTCGGAAGTCTCCTCTTCACGCATAATCTTAAGCTCGTCTTGCACATCAGGCTTACGTCGCAAAATCACCAAACACGCTTCGCACGCGTCCCAGCCCTTGCGATCCAGTACCCAGTATGGACTCTCAGGAAACACATTCACCACCGGTGTGACCAGCGCAATGATGATACAAGCCGCGAATGTTTGCCAAATCCATCCCAACTGGTTTACGGTCGCAAAAATCCCTCCCATCAAGCTGCCAGCTACGAAGCCCAAGCCCAGCAGCAAAATGGCTTTGCCACGCATTTCTTTCGTGGAAATCTCAAAGATGTAGATGGCTAAAGACGGTAGCAGGATGCCGCACGAAGCACCGAGCAAGCCAATACCAGGCATTAGTAAAGTCGATCGGAGGTCGTCGTTAGCACTCACCGCTACCATACCTAGCGTACTGAAGAGACCACCAGCAACGATAGATAGACGACGGCCGAGGAAAAAGTTCAAGAAACCAGCGATAATCGTACCCACCATACATGACACGTACAGCATGTATGTGGTCGTACCGTCACCGACATCACCACTGAGCACGCCATCATACGTCACAACGTAACTTGCAAAACTGGCGGACTGCTCCAGCGTCGACAGCAGGTTAAAGAGCCAACCGACGCCGGTGCCACCCAAAACGCCCATAAAGGCCGCTAGCGAGAAGGCGTACTGCGACGACGCGGACATAACCTTCGAAAAACCCTCATTGTACATCATTCGTGTCTGGATAACGTTCAAGAACGGTACACACGACATGACTACCAGAGGGATTATCATGCCAGTGCAGAAAACGAAGTCGAACAAGAATTGCAGCTGCTGGAAAACCGAAACGCCAGCAATCGATGAGCCCGGAAAACTCCACATGCGAAAGCATTCGTTAATACCATAAAGAGCAGCCACATACGCGAACCATAACGACACTGCGTATTGGAAGTTCCAGCCTATGATGATCGAGGTCGCCAGAAAGTAAATGGCGTTCATGATGACCATTGTGGCAAAGTAGAGCACGGCGCGAGCGACTGGGTTCATGGACCGCAAGCTCTTTCCAATACCATGAAATACACCCAAAAGAACGACCGTCACTACCGCTGCGCCAAACGAGTACCCGACGTACATCACGTCGGCTGTTTCCAAAGTGGCCACGTAAAACATTAGCAGAAAGTGTCGGCACTCGCGGAGGATGACAGTGACCCGCGAAATCATATTCGAGTTGTGTAGTTGTTCCAAGTCTCCCTTCCACCAGCCTACCCAGCCACCCTTGTTCGCAGGATCATCGTCCTTGTAGCTCTCCTCAGCAAACATCCATGTGCACCATTGCCGAACATCGACCTTTGTCTTCTTTAAATCAAGACCGTCACTGTTGAACAGGAACGGACCGATCACCCACAAAATGGATATGAACCACACTGAGAACGTCTGCACACCGTAAGCCTGAGCAGTCTCACAGTAGTCCGACGCAAACGTGTTATCGTTTGCAGACGCATCGGTTTGACAAATGTAGAAGTTACCAAACACTCCGTACACGAGACACAAACCCATTAGCTCCCAAGCTTTTCGATAGTGTGAGCTAGCGTATGCCTTATACAACAACACCAACGTTTCACGTGAAATCTTGAAGCCACGACCTGTCGCCTGGTACTTGGCACCACCGTGCACAATATTGTTGTCGAAATAGTGCATCGTCGTACCAACTTGAAACACGAAGAACGCGGGACCGAGCGTAACGATCATGTCCACAAAACGCGTCATACCCCTCACGAAACCACCTTCACCGAAATACACGCACATGAGCGGAAGCATAAGAAAAAAACCGGCTTGGATGTAGAACTGAGTGTTCAGCACAGACTTCAAGTCCTTAAACACTCGCACGTCAAAGTTGTTCTCAATGTTGTCGGTAATCACGGCTGTTGAGTTCATGTCGTACACAATCTGTTGCTGCACACCAGCCAAGGCCAAGTACACCTTACAGTACATGTACACAAAAGTTGTTACGATTGTCATCCACGTAGCGAAGTAGAAACCGGTATGCGAGTAGTACATCGAGTTCAAGCGGAAGAAATCCATAAACTGGCCCATGCGGTGGGCTTCGCGAGCAAGAGACGTTTCACCAGCACCATTTGCCAGCTTACCCTCGAACATCGAAATCTGTGAAAGAGCCACATCACGACCCTTGCCACACTGCATAAACTCGACGTGCGTCACCACACCACCACGGAGCGTTGAATTGAACCCAGCAAACACATCCTCTGACAAGTTGATGCCCTTACTAGCCTTCGACACACCGCCGCGAGGCATCGCGATAACCTTGTCAAAGATATCGGGGTGACCGTAGTGCATACGCACGTACAGTGGATCGGCCAGTACGCGCTGAGAGAGCGTCACAAACACCAGTTCTTGCCACGACTTGAACTTTGACAACGACGACGCGTTGCCCGTGAAAATGTGCTCACGCATACCAATGATTGACACCGGCTTCTTCGAAGGATGCAGGTCAGCCGTCACTAGAAGCTGCGGCATTTTAAGACACTCCTCAAAGTAGTGCTGCTGGTTCATATCGATGGTCTGAAGATACTCACCACGCGTGAACGGAAGCGCGTTGTTCTGATTCTCAGGCTTACCTTCGCCAAGAATCGGGTCACCAGGCAGCTCGTAACGATAAACTTCTGCAATTTCGTTTCCTTCGCTCTTGATCAGCACAGTGTCGAATTGCTTACCTTGATCGAGCACGATCGTATCGACGTAGGCCACGCGCAAGTTTGGGTATGTCTTCAGCAGATAGTCAATGTCGTCAGCCTGAGCTTTATTCTCTGCCCGATGCTTACCGTACACTTGGCAGGCACAGATGTATGAAAACTTCAAGCGCACCATATCTTCCAGCTGGGCCTGCTTTTGCTCAGCCGACTTGCCAGGACTTGAGCCAATCTCCAGCCAGTGCAATATCTTAATCGCGTCCTCATACAGCATCATGCCCTGGACTGTACGCGCCAGCGTCTGACCACGGTACGAAGCCCACAAACGAATCTCTAGCGGGTAGTTTGCTTGCGCTTCCTCGGCAGTACTTACATCGATACGCTCCAAAAAGTTCTCCCATTCCTCAGGGTGAATAGTAATGAGGTATTTCAAAATCGTGATGTTCTTGCCTTTCTCCTCAACCTTCTCAAATACCGGGTGATTGACCAACGGGTCATTCAACTCCGACAGAGAAATCAACACGCTCTCACTGTAATATGGTGTAACCACAGAGAACGAATGCATCTCTTTCACCGACGGAAGCTGGGGAATGTCCATCAATAGCGACTTCATGAAAAAACCAAGACGGCGCTGAGCTTCAGGAACGCGTGGCATAGCATCAGCCTTCTCAAGAGACATTAGCAAGTACGCACGGGTAGCAGCACCCATGGCAGTGTCGTTGTGAAACAGGTTTACCAGACCCCGTGCAGCAAACACATAGCCGTTTGCACTAGTGCAAAATCTGGAGTTACTGAACTTGGCAGCAAGCTCAGGGCGGTTCGCAAAGATACGAACAGCATTGAGCAAATTCTCCATCTTTGTCACAAAGTTGCGAACAACACCCATAGTGTGCACCCTAGATGTCGTCAGGTGTGAAGACTGAGCATCTGGGTCAGGAAGATCCATGACAGCCTCCAGGAATTCCATCGACACCGTACGCAGCTGCACCAAGCTTTTCGCGTCAAATGTGCTCATGAAGCTACCGTTCGCAGCAATGGCCTCCATCTGGCGAAGTGCGTCAAGAATGTCGGCATCGTCGCTTCCCAGAAGAGCCTCCATCACGTACATGCTAGCGGTGAAGAAGCTGCGCACGGCCGACAGGCAGTCCTTTTGTACCATGTACACCTGCAGCTGCGAGTCACCTTTGCCTTCTTTACCAAGCTTTACGGTGTAGTCTAGAGCCTCCACGAGCTTACCGGCGGAGAGGAACACAGGCTCGAATACATCACCGGAGCTCTGAATGTCGTACTGCAATATAGCAGCTTCTTTATCATCTACAAGGTCTCCCTCTCGGAACGAATTCACAATCTCATTCCAGACAACCACAAATCGAAGCATCATCTGTGACTGGTATGCAGCAGCAGAGCCGTCGGCAGCGGCGTCGTTCGAGCGAGCGAGATTGGTCACTACCTTCTGATCGAAGAGCTGAGGAGCCACGCGGAAAGCCTTGGTAATCTCCTTGATGCCGTGGATCTCACCGGTCTTCATGATGAGACCTTGTATGCCACCAAGCGAAGCTTGGAACACGGTAAAGTAGATCTGGGTATCGTAGTTGAAAATGAAAATCACTGGTAACCACAACGCGGCAATCACACCGAAGTTGTGGAAAGACACCACATCGCTACCGTACTCAAGCTCCATCTCGTAGATGGCGAGCGACGGAAGAACTAGCGGACGGACCAGAATAAAGTACGACACGAATGCCTTCAGCGACCAGAGCACTAGCCAAAAAATGATGTACTTGATCTGGTACTGTAATGGTGGCGCCATGTTGCGTCCAACGAAGCAAGATTCGCCCTCGCGAATGAACTTGGCTGCGAACGATTTCGCAATCATCGACGGTGCAAAAGCTTGCACGATAATGATCAACGCGCCCGGTAAAATATAGGCAACTGCCGCCGGTGCAGCCATGTCCAGCAGCTCCGTGTTCTTGCTGGTGATAAGAGGGGTGTAGATCATCAGGCCAAATATGCCTGCAAATGCGCCGTTCCAGAGCATTCGAACTACGAGGGCGCCACCGTAGTTGAACGAACGTGACGATGTCTGAGACGACTCACTAGCAGTAAGTAATTGCCAGCCATGGCACGCTTCAAGAACAGTCTTTGAAAAGCCCATGGACGACAGGGCAAACACAATGCCCACGTACGTGAGCTTAACATCTTGCTGCCGATACGGCTTGACGACTTCACCCATGGATTCGAACTGAGCAAACCACTGTTGTCCGCCACTGGGCGAGATCGCTGTGATAAAGCCAACGGCCATGAGCACCATCATGAACATCATGTTGAACTGGAAAATGCGGTAATAATTCAGCACGAGTGTAAAGATACTGCGGTGCTCGTAGTACGTCTTGGTGTGTTTCTTCGTCAGCTCGGCTCCAATCTGCGTAATGTCAATGTTCAAGCAATACTTTTTCCAAAAGTATTCGTTAATGTCGTCGTAGTTGCGCACTTCCGTGTGCTCCAAGTTCTTCCCGAGACTGTTTTTCCGCTGCATGTTGCTCGCTTCTTTCCAGATGGGGCGCACAACCTGCCGCAAGTACCAGCCTTCCGGCACCTTTTGCTGTCCCAAAAAGTCCTGGTTCAACATGGTCAACGACTGGTGGTAGAGGTAGCACAAGCTCTCGGGCATGTGACGCAAGTTAGCAGCCTCGCCCCAGAGCAGCAGAAAGAGCATAATGTCCATATGAAGTGAGCTCTTGAGATCGCCCTGCGGCTCGCCCGTGTACGTGGCACTCGGCACGCCAAGGAACTCACACCACTCGCTGTAGTTGCTCATGAGCTTCTTGTGCAGCGCCACGACGTGGTGGCCCGGCGCGTCCTGCGGCTTCAAGCGCGCCTTGGCGTTCGCCAGCAGCAGCAGCACGTGCTCTCGCTGGTTGTCCACCGAGCCAGACTGGAAGCCAAACTTGTTGTACAGCACCTCGCAGCAAAAGTCGATCGACACTTCGTCGGCAAAGTCGCCTTCGAGCCCGCCGCCCCCGCGGCCTTCGTGGCCTCCCTGTGTGTTAGGCGGCAGCACGTTCATCATACTGAGACGGTCGCCAAACGTGCCGCGGCCGTCGCCGTGGTTCAAGTGGCTGCGGTTCGCCGACTCGTTCCGCTTGCGGTCGGCGTCCAGCTGGAAGTAGTTGGAGCCAGCGCGACGGCGGTCCGTCTTGCCACCAGGCGTCATGGCCATCGTCTTGACAGGAAGAAGGCGACCGCTTGCTTACTTGCCTGTCTAATTGTCTGTCTATCCGTCTGCGAGCTTGCTTGCTTGCTTGCGTGACCTGCGACAAGGGCAAGAGTGATGGTCGTCGCGGGTTTCCCTTTCCGCGCGCACTCGATAAAACCGTTCAGTTTTGGTTGTGAGGGAGAGAGAGAGCGAGCGCGCGCGCGCGGCGCCCCCTCGTGCAATGCGGGAGGGTCTCTTTGTCGCCTCGTTTCTGTACTTCAAAACCGTCCCCTAACCAGACGAGCCAGCTCCTGCTTAAGTTGACATACGACGGCAGACGATTGGCGACAAGAAAAGTGCAGCAACGGGGCGACAACTTGACGACAAACGACAGCTCGAATGCGGGACGCACTGTCTCGGCGAATTGAATCGAACCAGCGCTGACTTGCTACACACTTGAGTGAAAGTGGATTATGGCCAGTTATTACTAGTGGTGGGCATCTCCGTGACATGCCCGCACTGCCATGTTGTACACCACGAGTGCGCGGCATCTTTACGGTGGAAGCGACGATCTGCGATCGAACGTGCACATAGCCGTGTGCTCAGAGTGAACGAAACCGTACTCTTGCTTTTAGAAGGAGAGATGCGATGGTCTAGCTATGTCCGTGGCTGCCTACTTTCTGTGCACGGCGATCTTACGACAACGATCTTACGCCACATCGACATGCTTGGCTCAGCTTTGGCCCCAGGTACATATTGGAGCACAAAAGACACATGGGGGTGGTCATCAGAAAGCTCGTCGTGGTGCTTACTTAGCCAGTGCGTCCGTACTTTAGTACGAGCGTGTATACTTACAAACCCCGCCAACAGCTGAAGTGCAGTAACTTAACGACGAAAGTGCTGTATCTGCCTACGTCGATACCTGCAGATGCTTGACACGTTGAGCGCTGTCTTTTGGGGTATGATGCGGCAGTGTTTCATTCTCCCTACCTCCCACACACGAGCTCTCCCGTGACCGAATCTCCTTTTGCGCGTTTCTTGAGAGGCTAACTTGGTAGATGTCACCTGAGGTCATGCGCGCGTTACGGGGATTGCCGGGAATTTAAACCGTGAAACGCAAAATTGGTTTTATTGACACTTTGGACAGAAGCAGTCGCTCAAACGCACGGGTATGTTGCATCCAAGGTCGAAGAGTCGTGCAAATGGTCTTACTCTCTCAGGCTGTGGCTAGCCTGTTGCAAACTGCTGGGAACGGAGTGGCATGGCCATCATTCTGAGCGATCTATGCATGATGATCGCGTTTGCTTGCTTGACACTGATTCCTGGATTCTCCGTCAATACCCTCGTCTTCCTCGTTGAAAGAGTATCTGGCAAAAAGAACTGGTGGTGTTCAGCTCTTGCTCCACTTGTTTCACTCTTGCTTTGTCGACGAAGTTTACCGGCGTGACTTAGTAGCATGGACCTGATGCGATGGGCACTTGAGCCCGAGCTGTTGTTTTCATACTGATTCATATGCATAGCCGCCTCGTCGAGCTACCGTCGATCTTTGCATACTTTCGCATCTATTTTGTGCGGTTCCGCGGCTGTCGATGCAAACTGGCTCTGCGTTGCCCTGCACACTGCGTGGGCAGTGCACTTGCACTCGTCAGACTCTCCCACTCCCAACACAACTTTCTGTCGGCAACGAAATTGATGCTTGTCGATTTATCGGGCGCCCCGACTGTTTGTACGGAATCAGTCAAACGCGTAAGATCGATCAAGACTGATCCACGAGCTGCATCATCACTATACTAGCAAAGTTACATTCGGCAAATGCTTCAGGTTCTTTATGACGATGCCTATTGACAACGCATCGGATGAAAGCAGCACGAGGTCGCTGTCCACGTGAACTTTGTTTTTCAAATTGGCTCGTGGAGTTTCTTCTTTTGATGCTGCACGACTCTTTTCAAAGTGCTTAGTGGGTTCCAAAAATGTCTCGCACTAGACGTTTGCTTCGTCTGGACGGACTTGTGAAGTTTTAGCAACTTCGATACACTTTCACTCATCAATAACAACGTTCCGTCTCGCCGTAGTCGTGTGCATGAACCCTACACGGTCAGTGCCAATGGTGCAAGCAAATTCGTGATCTATTGACCTCTCCACCAGGTAGATGACAAAAAGGTGACAATCACATGCGCCAGGTTAGCACCTTGCTATACAGCTCATACTTTGCTCGCTCTCTTCACGTGTGAGAGATAGCGGATCCATACGCTGCCTTATGGTGATGATCTAGCTTTCAACCCATGTGAGATGCCAAATCACCATGAGAGAAGGTATTTCGTGTGGTTGTAGCAAGGTGGAAGGCGTAACAAAGTGGTGATAGTGACTGGATGGGCCACTCTGTGATTGCGACGAATGAGAACGGCAGCCGACGATCATCATGCAGAAGTAGGGTCACCTATAGCGTACTGAAATATTTCCGGACGCACTTGACCGACTCTGTTGGTCTGGAAGGTTAGAAACGACTGCAAGACGCAATCTCGGAATTAATAACCCACGGACCGATCCTGACGATCGAGATGTGATTCGTTACATCGTGACGTGGCATAACGGTCTCAAGATTACTGCATTGTGACGCTGTAGAAACGATCGACATGATGGAAATCGAGACCAGTGACATTGAAGAGACGCATGTCTTAGCTAGATCGGCCCGTCCACGATGACGACCGGAGGTCGGTAAAACCATACCGAAGGTGCAAATCAGTAGGGGGCTTTTGTCTAGGTTTCGAAATCGAAGAGTAGGTGCATGTTCAGGTATCGTAAAAGATACCGATATTTATAGGTCCATCGCCGTAACATCATATATTAAATATCACGACTAAACCGACGCTTTTGATGAGTAAAGGAAACATCACCAATATATACCGAAATAGCGGTCTTATTAAAAAATACCACAAGATGAGAAGATAGAAAATACACGGCAATAAAATGCATTAGAATAAATATCTTACGATTGGATAATAAAAGAAAATTGATATATTTACACCCCTTTTACTTAAATTCGTACCATTCCTTACAAGCAAATAATTATACTCTTTTATCTAATATTGTCGCATTTTACGTGAATATTACATTAATAAATTTACTGTGCACCACCCGAAAAATAATCGGTGTAGCAACATCTGTACACGTAAAGTGTGTCCCATCTAGTCGTATACATTTTAGGGCGCGTTATGTATATAAATCATTCTTTTTGGTTCCGATTCAGCAGATGTACGCTGCTGCTTTGTTGGTAAACAGTCCCTATCTTAAAAATATTCTGCCCCGAATGAGGTACCGGCAGCAGACCATTCACACGGTTGCATCTTACAATCTGCCTGCGACAGTTCACATAATCGCCTTAACAAAGATCGTGCAACCATAAGAAATGCGCAATGAGCTTGTGCGATGATATACTCACACCTGCATTTTTCTTGCATAGTTTAATGTACTTAAAAGTGATCTCGATCGTGCGTTTGTTCCGCAGTCCCACCGCGAGAGTTACCCCAGCTTAACACGAAATTGTAAAAAGGTGTAATGAGAGCAGCAATGGCATTTTAGCTGCTATGGCCCTCCAAATCTTATATATTGATAATTTTTCACAATTGAGAGTCCAGACTGACTGAGGGACGTACGGAGAAGTATCGGAAAGACAGTGCAGGAGGTCGAGGAGAGTACGCATAACAGTCGTATTTATGGGGTTATTCTTTTGGTATGGTACAGAAGCTTAGAACTGTAGATGACTTGCATGTGCATGTACTATTAATGAGTAGACTGCACGGCGATGACCTCTATAGTGACGTAATTTTGCCTAGTCATGATCACTATTTCCAGTGGTTCGCGAACAGGCAATCAATCATTCCTAAAATAGTTCGATTTATTGTGTGATAGCTTTAATGCCAAGATCCATCTCATATGGTCCTAAAAGGTGCACTCCTACAAAGAGGAATACGACAATAAAGAAGTGTGTGAAATGGAGGTACGGAAAAGTAGTACTGAAACTCTTTCGATTGTTTTACTTTGGGAGTTTAAGTACTGTTGAAGATGATTCATAAATTTAAGTACTGAAAAGGTGCGAATATCAGAGTTGCAGGAAGAGTGTGAATATCACGTTTGACAAAGAGGGTGGCTTCAAGCAAAAGAGATGTGACGACATCAACTCCTGAAAAAAAAGATCACAAGATCTGAAAATATAAAATGTAAACCAAAGCGTATACTATACGTATTACATAACACAAGCTAGTAATAATTCGTGACAAAGCCATGATTTTCTATTATTTGTGTACAGTCGATCAAAAAACATGCACACTAAAATGACAAACACCTATTTTGCTAGTGATAACGTCTGCAGTACAGCCAGTTTAGCTGTTTTTACACACAGGGATAGATTCGCGCTTAACATTTTCTCAAACATGACAAATGTAGCCAAGCATAAACGTCGACGCAAAAGTAAAGGTGCAATCAGACGTAGGTTTTTTCAGCGCAGGGTCTGATCGAATAGAACACGAACAAGAACCCCGATTAAAGCTGAAGGTCAGCTAACACTTCAAAGTCCACTGAGAATGTCCATTTGGTGAAAATATTTCAGAACATTGTGTTATGGAACACGCTCGCGTATCTTAAATGTACAAACAACAAAGTAGTCGCTGCAACTTCAATATTTGATATGTGACAAACCTCTTAGCATCATTAATCGCGTTGTAACTATGGAAAACAAGGTTACTTCCAGTAACACAGGCTACAGTTCAATTTAGATCCGATTTGTTGTTCTCCACGTGATTAGTACCGTCTATCTTCCTTCTTTCTTTTTTCTATCTTCCTGTTCAAGCATTTATCTTTTGAATATCGTGAATAATTCGAGATGTTTTGAGCGCAGTTTTTATAGAACGTTCGGTAAGAGCACAATAGCAGTGTTTCGCTAGGAAAGTGCATCGCGCTAGCACACATATGCCCGTCCATGTCGATTAGTATGTTGCCGAACACATCGTCAACAATATGCTGTTCAGTTTCAGTTGTTGAGGTTAAGATGTCACCATATAATAGATTAAAATTTCGGCATGGTAGACAGTGACATTAGCATCATACAAATTCTCCTTCAGGCCTAGATATTGGAAGTTACTCTGTCGAGTTTTGCAATGTAAGGAAAGGTGCGGGTGAAGCTATCAGTTATCGATGTTTTTTAGTTGTCCAATTTGTCTACGCTACATTAATAGCGTATGAAATAGTGGCAGAGGATGGCTATCATGCGGAGGAATGGTAACGGATACACCATATGATAAGGGGTTCTACATCCCGTATGCATCTCGCAAGCTCCATATTTGATAGGTTTCTCGTTGCAGGCTTAAAATGCTCAATAAATGCATTAAATGACAGAGGGAAGTTGTTGTGGTGTAATTTAGCCGTTCATGAAAGATTTTTGGAGTAAAATTCATGCTTATGATAGAACCATATTACTTCGCGATAGAAGAGGACCCGTTGAAGTAAAATGCAGAACGACAAATATCTTAATACAGAATCGCTAGATACCTACCACGTTTTCGTCATTTCCTCCAGATTATACCTTAATAAAGGGTTTTAGCGCCATTTGATTGGCTGGATATAAAATTACCCATCTCAGAACAAACTTTCTATCGCATCATACCGTTTTCAACGCTAGACCTGCTTATCTTATAATATACTTTTGGCAATTTTTGCAAAAGAATATTGTACGACCTTTCTTTTTGTTTTGATTACAGACCTTGTCATTATTGCTGTCAACGTTTTCCAGTCATATTTTATTCTTCCTTTGCGACTACGAAAACTTCTATAGTTGGTGCTTGAGGCACTGTTCAAACGACACAATCGGAAAGATTTCCAAACTGTCCGCAGAAATCCTACAATGTTGAAGCCCGAAAGAGAAAAGGCGCCATTTCGTGCATGCTCAAGCATTGAGGGATCTCATGTTGCTCTCTCCCGTCTAAGTGTTTGCTCATCGATCAGATGGGCACTATCGTTACATAAATTTCTTGATTGAGATTCTCTTTGACGTCTGTACCTTGCCAGTTTTTGTCGAACGCTAAATCACATGATAAAAAGGCAGCCAGTGCTGCAAATGGATTTCACACTCTTGCTTGGTTCTGCTGCTAGCTTTTCGTCAGCTTAATTATTACCGCGAGAGCACCACACAGAATACTATATGCAGATTCATCTCAACATTTACGTACTCTCTCGGTGAGCTTGATTGTTCAGCATGGCCCATTATTGCTGCGTGTTAGCTACTTGTCTGTAGAGTATGCTTTGGCATATCGTAAGCAGCCTTAACAGGTTAAAACGGGGCACCCTTTTGTTTGGGGTGCCGCGAAACTTCACGTACACTAGTACGTGCAGAGGAAGCTAAGCTACGTGAAGGACTCGATCAAGTAAAGGTAAAAAGAGAACTGTATTTAATATAGTTAAGCTATCAAAATGACTTTAATCTTTATCTAACTATTTTACACTACGCCGTCGTATGACGACAACCTGCTCACCACTCATTGCGCGCGTCTAGCAGCGATTGGTGGCAATCTATGGTTGATATGTCTTATATCAACCAATCTTAGAGCAGCGAATGAAGATTATCCAGAAGGGGATAATATTTCCTTCAATATTATTCATATCGGATAGTATCGATAGAATATTGTTATACTAGACGATATTCCAATTGACACCGTTCGGTGTCGATTTCATGTAACGGTCTACCCCGTTACATTCCCCCCCCCCTTTACCTATCAACCACCCGTTGATTGAATAAGAATATTTGGGACATGGTGACCACCTTGAATCACCCTGGGAAAGGGAGCACTTGCTGGTCAAATTCCATTCATTTGCCAATCCAACGCATGGTTTCAAAAACCACACGAGCTGCTACTGCAGCAGCAAGAAGAGCGGCTGCACACATGCGTGCGGCCGCGAAAAGTGCCTCTCACGCCTCAGCAGCAGGCGATTTGTCGCCTGATGTAGTGAATCCACCACGTGGTGCGTCACCACGTGCGACAGGTACATCCTTTGCGTCTGCAGCGGGTACCTCGACTCGTAATCCAGACGAGTCTGAGATAGAGCTCATCTATTCTGGCGAGTCGGATGATGCATCCGGCTCGAAGGCGACTCCTCACGTCTCAGGATCACCCGGGGCGGACGCTGCAAAAGCCAGGCTGACTGGCTCTGGTCAGCGCGGCAGCATCATGACCGAGATCTTCGGATCGAGTGATTACTCCGATGTGTCTCCGTCTCACGCAAGTCCATCCAACGCTAGGACGCGTGGGGATGGTGGTGATGCACCTATGCATCACCACGAGCGAAGCAGCTCAAGGGATCGGGGTAACACTGGTGCCAGTGCTCATGCTGGCACCAATAAAGAGGCCAGGGACCGAAATGTCCCGCGCCACGCTCCTCAAGTGGAGTCTCCGTGGATGCCGCCATCCAGAGAGTTTGACCGGTTGGCCGACACGACTACCGAACGAGATCGAATCCCGTTGTTCGATTGCAGGAAGATTTGTCCGCCTGATTCCAGCACGGAAACTATCCGTGCTGAGGAAGAGTTCTTCACCGATTCGTTCTTCAAACATCAGTGGTACAATGGTAGCCGTGTTTGAGACGGCAAAGCCTTGGTGCAGAGATGGAATGCCCTCATCCACAACATCGAATTATTGGCCGTGAGGCTTGGCTCGCCAAATTTAATGCAGCTCGCATCAAGTTTAAGAAACGCAACCCCCTCGGGGCGCAATACAAGTTGCACAGGCTTTCAAGAGAGGCAGGATTACCCTGTCTCTCGTGGGGTGATTCGTGTCCATGTTGCTTGGACAATTCGAACCGTGCCCCTAGGGAGGCCTACCTTCCTAATGATCCCTACTGGAGGGCGCGCATCTCTTCCGAGATGGCCGAAGGGACTGACACTTGGCAATCCCTGTACTCGCGTTCGGGAAGGTCGTTTCCGACGGCCCTTCTTCAAACGCAGCGGGTGCGTCTCGTCTTACTCCTCGACGAGGCCAAGGACATCAACAATCAGCTGGGCACGAGGCTCCCAGATGTCCCACGCCCGTGGATAGCCACGCCAGCGGACGAGGTAACTCGTCCGGACGCCATTTACATCGCGGTGGTTCAAAATACGCTCCACTAGGAAGCGTTGACCACCGCTTGAGTCCACCAAAGGATGTGGTGGCGGTGGGAACACCTGATCCGGCTCCAGGATCGGATCAAGTTGATGCCCAAGAGCTGAAGCGTCTAACGGAACAGTTGCACGATGACCTTGCTCATGAATGCTCTCGGCGTTACGGGCTTAAGGACCTTGTGAAAGATAATTACAATTCCATATCGCACGATCGTTCGGACGATCTTATGCTTTCGGTTTCGCGCATCTTGAGAACGAACGTTCGACTCGTTCTCTTCGTGACGAGATGGCTGCTGCTCGTCGAGACATCGCTAAGCTGCGTGAACAGGTCGCTTCGCTAGTCGACCAGACTGGTTCGTTGAAACGGAACCACTCTAGGGTGGTCTCGGCTCTCGACCGCAGAGGTGTTCTTCGCATCTCGAAACGGGCTCGTACTGATAGTATGGGCGGAGACGACCAACGTAAAACGTAGGATGCGTGCGCATATTACGGGGCAGTTTAATCGCGTATGCGTTGCCCATTCGGCGCAACACACAAAATGGACTGATGTACCTGGGCAGTAATTTACTTCTGCCCAAGTTTGTGACAGCGTGCTTCGGTAAGTTTACTGTAGACAGTAAATTTATTCTACTTTGTAAATGTAAGAACATTTGCACTTCCATGTTTGTCTGCGTTTCTCTTCTGTCCGTCTAATGCATCTGCAATAGGGTCTTGAACAAAGCGGACAACCGCTTCGCGAGTCAGCAGAAATTCCTCTGCTGATTCATCCTTGTCAACAGCAGTGCGCTTCGTGTACAATGCTGAAAGAACGTTTTCTACACCAGTGAGGGTATCATCGTCCTCACTTTGGCGGTCATCGGCGATGCTGAATATGCCAGCATCGTCGTCATCGATCCCATCGACATCGGCATCCATCACGTCGACACCATTGTCGACGGGTGATGAGCAAGAACCAGATCGGTCTTTGTTCGTGCGAGTCCCCCCTTATAGTAGAGTCACACTCTAAGAAGTCGGGTAAACGTTGATGGCGTAGGCCAGCACAAAGAACGATGTATGCGTTGTAGACGCTTGCACCGACTTCTTAATGGCGAAACCCGCCATCGGCAAGAACTCACTCCAGCTCGTAAACGAGTGGACATACCCTCGAAGTATCTCTTCGAGAACGCGGTTGACGCGTTCCGTTTTACCATCTGTTTCGGGATGGTCAGAAGTTGACATCGTCAAACGTGTTCCAAGTGAACGGAACACGGATTGCCAGAACTCCGCTGTAAAGCGGGGGTCTCGATCAGACACGAGTTCACGGGGTAACCCGTGAAGTCGGAAGATAGTATCGATGAAGACACGCGCACAGCCCTGGGATGTAATTGACTCCGGTACAGCAACAAGATGTACCATCTTGCTGAACCGATCAACAAACACAAGAATACCCGTATTCTTGTGAGCGTCTTTGGGAAACCCGAAGACGAAGTCCATCGATACGGACTGCCAGCGTTCTGCCGGAATTGTTAGAGGTTTCAAGTGTACACGGGACGAAGTACTAGGCTTCACCTGTTGGAAAACTTCGCAAGCACGAATGCATTTCCGCACAAACTCATACTGGCGGGGCCAGTAGAAGTCACGACTCACCATGAGGTAAGTCTTTTCTCTACCGCGATGTCCACTTGTTAGCGCATCGTGACACTCATACATGATGCGCAATCGAAAATTATTATGAGCCGGAACGACGACACGAGGTGTGTCGCCGTTGACTGCTGCATAGTACAGCAATCCATCACGAATTGAATACCGTTCGACGACAAGCTTTTCAAAGGGTGATTACACGGATTGGCTACATAATCCATCGACCGCAGAAGAGACCCATCTTCGGTGTATGCTTTCCGCACGTCATCGACCATATTCGACGACGAAACACTCACTGTAAGTGTCGCTACAGTGGGACCACCCCTACTGTTGGGATTATCATCGGCTCGAAATCTGGCCGACGCGAAAGAGCATCAGCGACGACATTAAGCCGTCCTGGTTTATACCCGACGGAGAAGTTTTACTCCGCGAAGAAAGACAGCCACCTCGCCCTTCGTTGCGAGAGGTGTGGACTGTGTACGGCCGTGCGTAACGACGCATGGTCGTTATAAACGATGAAGGGCCTATCTCTTAAGATATAAACCCAAACTTGGCCAGTGCACATTTCGTGGCAAGGAGTTCCTTGTCATGAACCGGGTAATTCCGCTCAGATGCTTGCAGCTGACGCCATTGATAACAGACGACGCGCTCAACGCCGTCTGAGTCGTACTGCATTAACGCGCAGCCGATAGAAAATTCGCTGGCGTTACAGACCACATGAATTGGCCTATCCTGATCTGCGATCGCCAATACAGGCGATTGCATCAAGATTTTCTTGATGCCTTTAAAAGAGTGCTGACGCTCAGCGCTCCATGGTCATCTCTCTTTTTTCTTTAATAGACGAGAGAGATGTACAGTCATCTCGGCATAGTTGCGCGAGTGTTGTGCAAATACGCTGTTAAGCGAAGGAAGTTCGAAGTCCCTTGACGTCTACTGGCACAGGCCAGTCGCTAATCGCCTTGATCTTTTCCGGATCAGGGCGTACACAGTTTTTACCCACGATGCAGCCGAGAAGTGTTATTTCGTGCGCTGCGAATATACACTTCTTCAGATTCGTGAACAACGTTTGCTCTCGCATATGTTTAAGAACCTTCTGTTCGTTTATTCTATGAACCTCCACGTCCGTCTTTCCATCCATATCCCGACTATGGACGAAGAGATCGTCAAAGTAACTCGGTGCAAAGTCGCGCACCGATCGCAACAGATTCGTAACACATCTGTTAAACGTTGCGGGGGCGTTACTTAGCCCCTGTGGTATTACTAGCCACTCCCAGAGCATACCACTGGGGGTGCTCACTGCTGTGTAAGCGATATCCCGTTCACGCATGAGGATCTGATAGAATTCATTCATCAAATCCATGGATGAAAAGATGGTACATTTTTCCATACCATCTATGATGACATCCTTCCTCGGTTATGGCGTCTGAGCCGGTACCGTTGAAGCGTTCAATTTGTTGAACGCGTGCACTATCCGCCACCATCCTGTAGCCTTTTGCACACATAAGGTCAGAGAGATGTGTGGGGATGTTGGTACCCTCACATGGCCCGCAGCTAAACGATCGGCAAAGAACTTGTCGATCGCAAGTACTTGTTCACGAGGCAGTGGCCACTGCTTCATGACACAGTACTTCGAGCCTGGTTTTAGTTCGATCTCATGCCGAGTTCCTTTGTCCTTAGGCAGCTCGCACGGCACGGATTCCGGGAAACATCCCTGAATTCAAACAAATCCTTATACAAAGGATTTGTCTTCAAAGACTCCTAAGATTGAGACGTGCATTACCTAATTTGAGTCTACTCATCGAGGACACTCTCGTCCATGGATGAGCTACTGAGAACCCGTTCGCTCTCAGCAAACACTTGTGCCGACCGAATATCGGCGACGTACTCGTCCTCTGTGACGAGTAAGCATATCTGCTTGAACTTGTCACTGCGCAGATCTCGCAATAATCGTTAGATTCTAGCGTTGGCAACTTAATTACCTCCGAAGCTGAATTCGGAGGCGTTACCAGATCAAGTGTATAAGCGCCTCCAGTTGATGGGTCATTCACCAAGACATAAACTCTCACGGTGATTTTCTGGGAAAGCACATTCGCAGGTGATTGGGGATCCACACCCTCAACATAACTCTCTCGGGAGTTATCACTCTCAGGAACGCTGGATTTTATTTCCATTACGGGTTATATCACGGTCACGTCCTCTTCGATCGACTCTCTTTCAGTTGAGCGGGCTTGCTCTACGATCGACTCTCTGATAGTCGATCTCGCTTTAACGTGTTGTCCATCCTGAAAAACACTAGTCTCTCTTCTCGAATGCACCCTTCTTGGTGTGCATCCGCGTTCCAGTCCACTCGATATCTTTAAGTGGTGAACCTTCGGCGCAGCCTGTGTCTCTACACAGGTGCCGGAAGCTGGTTTTACATTGCAGTGGCTTCCTACACTGTGATCTTGTGCAATCGTACTAACGACCGTACCACAAGTGAGGCCATCACACTCACTCGTAGTACTTCCACACGCTTGAGGACGCTACAAGATGTTCATCAGATGGCCATCCGAGGAACTAACGGCAGGCATCTTCACGGATAGATGCTGCCAGCTAACCCATGGCTGGTATTTTCTAAGCCATGGCAGACCGAGGATGACATCAACTTCGTCATTCAAATCGATAACGATGAAGTCATCACCGTACAACTTTCCTTCTAGCGTATAGTGGATTCTCACTACACGTTTGTTCACTGTTACGGATGCGCCTGTTGCAAGGCACACCGTCATCATCGTTGTAGGGAATATCGCACAACATAGTTGAGCCTACTATCCTCTAGCGACTGGCGTCGAATAAAACTGTTCGACGCCCCACAGTCAACTAGGGCGCGAAGTGGCATTCCACTTTTGACTTCGATCTTCAAATTTATGAGAGACCCTCCATCACTAGGGGCAGTAACACACAGCTTCTGCGTGTTGAGAGCAATCTTCGTCAAGCGTCCTGCAAATTCTCTTGACGTTGCTGGATCAGCAGAGTGCTCTGCCCCTACTGACCCTGTCCATTTTTTGACGGTCCGTCTTGCTGTCGCGGCTTGGCGACATGGTCGGAACCATGCCTCGGACCCTCCCTTGGCCAACGGCGGTCATCACGTCCTATATTTGGACGTGTTGCGGTGCTTGGGACACTACAATCGTGAGCGTAGTGTCCTATCTTCTAGCAGCGATGGCATCTTGCCGTTCGCTTGTGACTCAGAGAGCGAGAGTTCTCGCTCTCGATGTAACAGAGGTCCGTTGGTTCGGGACCTCCTGTTTCCTGTCGTCTCGTCGGACGATAGTTTGACGAGTTTGCCTGATACTCGTCAAACTCTCCGGCTGAAGTCTTCTTGTTTCTTATACGCTATCGCCTTTTCCAGCGTATGGAAGTCCTCTTGGAACATGTAGTTCTTCACCGGCCTATCCACAAGGCCGTAGATGAACACGTTGATGAGCGTGTGCTCATCAACAGGGTTTCCCGTACCGCTACTCGCAATAAAGGGTAGGTGCTGTGCGCAATCGTGCACATCAAGCCTACCTTGCTTTAGCCTCGAGAGTGCATAGCGTGCTCTGAACTCGGCTCTCGGCGGCTCAAACGTCCCTTTAAGCCAAGACTTCAAGATCTCCAACGACTCAAACACGATTGGGTCGTGGAGCATGAGCCCTAAGGCCCAAGTCTTTGCCGGTCCTGTCAAATTGGACAGGGCGAAGGTGACTTGAATCTTGTCACCCTTGATGTGACGGGCCCTGATGGCATCGTCTAACTAGACGAACCATCTTAAAAGGGAATCTTCATCGGTTCCCTTGTACCTTGAGATGTTAATCTTCAAGGTTTCGGGTCGACGCATGTGCGTCGGCACGCCCATCGGCTGATGAGAGCCTTGCTGCTGTAGCAAGGCTATCTTCTGTCGTTCGACGGCAAGTTCTCCTTGATGGAACTTGTTGATAGCAGCATGTTGCTGGTCTCTGCTTAAAGACTCCAACATACCACTGATGGCGGGTTCGCCCATGAGCACACTCATGCGGCCGACTACCTCCCATTCTGAGTCACTTAGATGGGAGTAGCCTTCACGTGTGATGTAAAGCTGTCGTCTTATACGTCCGACATGTTCATGTTGGACGTACACTAAGTTTTCGTTGGACGGACTACAAAGTGCTACCAGGTGTAACGGGGCACCCTTTTGTTTGGGGTGCCGCGAAACTTCACGTACACTAGTACGTGCAGAGGAAGCTAAGCTACGTGAAGGACTCGATCAAGTAAAGGTAAAAAGAGAACTGTATTTAATATAGTTAAGCTATCAAAATGACTTTAATCTTTATCTAACTATTTTACACTACGCCGTCGTATGACGACAACCTGCTCACCACTCATTGCGCGCGTCTAGCAGCGATTGGTGGCAATCTATGGTTGATATGTCTTATATCAACTAATCTTAGAGCAGCGAATGAAGATTATCCAGAAGGGATAATATTTCCTTCAATATTATTCATATCGATAGTATCGATAGAATATTGTTATACTAGACGATATTCCAATTGACACCGTTCGGTGTCAATTTCATGTAACGAGCTACACCGTTACTTTAATAGGCTGTAATTGCAAACTTTAAAGTTGATTGATTTAGCTTACGCAGATATTTGAGAAATTTGGTAGATACCTACCCACCCTTTGATGAGTACACACCCACCCAAGCTGTAAAAATAATGATTTGCTACAAATTGCTACGTAAATACACAAACTTACAAGCTGCGAAACTGCACAGCACTGCGATTTCGACCAAGACTCCACTTCATGTTTTGAAGCTGGCGTTGTACCATAATAGAAAACAGCGACATGGTAAGTGATCAATCTTCAGAATGTTGCGGGGACAGTAGCTGTTTATACATGCAATACATGCTCAGCCTAACTACAGTACCAATGCTGCTGCTTATAGAATGCTTACAGCGGCAAACCTTTAACGTGTGACGGTTTATTTTCTAACGGATAATGGTAAGCTG